CCCCAAAACCCCAAAACCCCAAAACCCCAAAACCCCATCAAATAATAAATTAAATTAAACTTAAAAGAATATTACAAAAATTTAAATCTAAATGCCGTTGCAAGAGTCCCTCCCTCCACTGAGCGAAGCCATTATCGAACTATACCTGAACGTAAAGGTCAGGAGTAATGAAGAGATTAGTAATTACGATGAGTCAGTCTTTGAAAAAGAAAAAGATAAGCTGAGAGAACTCAGCCCTCACACTGTCCTAGACTACATCAAGTCCTCCGTAGAAATACTAATGAACATTAAAAGCGAGGAAAGAAAGAGCAAAAAGAAGAAAGACAAGCCTCTTAGATTTGTTGATGAGTCTGATGATATTTTGTCAGCAACTTCTCAGAGCTTGTGATCCACACTCGAGCAGTTCAAAGATGGTCCACCCAAGGAATATGAGGAAGCAATTCAAAAGCTAGAAGGAGATGTAAGAATGCATATTAGAGTGGAACAACAAATGAGACTCCACATAGAAAATCTACAACAAAAAATCGAAGATATAGAAAAGGCTAACAATTCAAACATCTCTAAAATAAAGAAAGAAATTGAAAATTTAAAGGTAGAAAAATAGAAGGCTAAATGAGCTTTTGAACATTAAAGAGCATCAATTAAAAACAAGGAAAGGAAAAGAGCTTGAAGAAATTAAAGAGAAATATGAGTCTAAGATAAGCTTCCTCGAGGCGCATTATCAAGAACAAATTGATCAATTACAAAGAGAGATCAAGATTAAAAATAATGATCATAATTTAAAAAGCTGCCTCAAATCTGAAAGAAGCCGGTCTTCGAAATCATTAAAGAAGGAAGAGAATAAGAGAACCCACAGAAAGGAGTTGTCTTATTCTGTTAATTATCTCAAAGCAGAGCCTGAATGACATAATACTAAAAGGGATGATGAAGAATGAGACACAGATATCACCCCAGCTGAAGAATTAAATAGTATCGATAAAGAAAGAATGATTTACAATGCTGAAAATATTGGCAATGAGTCACTTTTGGTCAATTTTTATAAGAAGAAACTTGATGATCAGAAAAATGAGTCCTCTAAAAATACGATTGAAGCACAGAATTTCACACACCGAGCATCAGGTCCTTTGAAAGCTCGTGATGAGAATCAATTGAAGGATGGTGAAAAATCAAACCTAACATCAATTTATCTCCAATCTAGCTCTCATAGGAATATATCTGGATATGTGCCAAAGCATTACCAGATTCCAATCAAGAAAACTTGAGGCAAAGGTGAATCTCGGAGTAAAAATGATATGGCAGGAAATCTAAAGATGCTCCACAAAAAGCATATAAAGTAAGATTGGCTGATTTAATGAATAGAGCATCTTCGATTAGTAAGAACAACGACCCGACTCATAAAAGAAGCAAATCTCATCATTCCCAGTACGCATCTCATAAAAGAGTGGGCAGTGTTGCTCATTATTCTATAAACTTTGGCAAACAGATAGAAAGCATGAGCATTGATAAAGACAATTATAGAGTCTCTCCAAATGAAGCAATGGAGAGTGAATCGTTTGATTCAAGAACATTTAATAAACAAAACTCTCTTATTGACCAGAAGCAGAAAGCAATGAACAGCCAAGCCTCTGGATCTAGACTTGGAAAATCTCCCTTACAATACTGAGATAGTTCAGACAGTAGAAAAGTTGAAGTCTCAAATACTTGGGATAATAGGAAATCGACTGCATATCCCTCTAAGGATTACTCGAAATCAACCTCAGGTTCGAGAATAGCTCCTACAAGGACCAGCAGTAGTCTTTCGAGTTATCACTTTAATACAAACAGGAGTACTTTAAATAAAAGCAAAAGGAAAGATTCTCAGAGAGTAAGAAAAGTGGATAGCGAAAAGAAGCTTCATATGAGCAGTGTTCCTAAAACTTATAAGAATAAATCTCTGAAGAACCAATCTTATCACCCTAAGACTAAGCAATACCTCAAAAATACTGGGGTTGCTAAAAATGTTAGCTCGACACATATAAGGAACCCTAGTCAGACCGGGACTTATAAAAAGTTATACTAATCAATAATTGATCTGTAATTTGGGGTTTTGGGGTTTTGGGGTTTTGGGGTTTTGGGG